AATGCAATAACGAATCATAACAATAGTATAGAATCCATTATAACTGAGGAATGTACCAACAAACCGGATTAAATTACAAAAGAAGATTTCGAAGAAAATATGATCTGTATGTATAAAGGAATTTTTATAATTGAATTATTCAGTTTTTTTTATTTTTTTTTTATTTTATTAAAATATACTGTTAATAGTCCTTTGTAAATATACATAGCAATAATATGTAAGATTAACTAATTAAGATTAATGAATTGTTGAAAAACAAATTATGGATAGCAATGTACACATTTAAGAACAATTATAAGTATAAGAAAAATTAAAAAAAAAAAAGACGTAATTTATAAAAAGTTAAGAAAAAAAAAAAAAACAATCCTTGGATATAAGAATTGGAATAAAAAGTTTAATAGAGAATCGGTAGAAAGAAAAAATAATTTATTAAACTTTCATAGGATAATATAATATTGAATTGCAAGTAAAAAGTTATCTGAGATTTTCGAGCGTGATATTTACCCTTCACCATTCATCATTCTATTTATTATATCTATTAGGCTCTTCACGTTTTTTTGGACAAAATTGAAGATAATTTTTTTATAGTGAATAATACATTATGTGCGATCGGGTCGTTAACCGTCGGTTTGTTTCAGTTAACCTTTTCATTTTCTCTTCATTAGCTTCAATTGATTTTAAAGGCATGGCCACACGCCGACCTCTGAATTCGTCCTTTCAAATTTCATATAATTCAATTTACTCGCACGTAGCAATACCGACTTCACTTAGCATTTTTACTAATTGTCCGACTTTGTTTCTTGTGATCATCGTGATATGAATTTTGATAAACAATTTTGCTCGCCCTCGAAAGCTATTCCGCAGCCTCAAATAAATCTTTTCAAAAACAGCCCTTGCCATATTAACTATTTATAGTAGAAATGCGGCTTGAGTGTCGACTTTGCTGTGAAAAAATGCAATTAAAATCATTCTTGGGAAAAATGAAATGACATTTTCTAAAAATTACCTATCCTTTATTTCTTATTATATAATTAAAATCTTCTTATCTTGTATTAATTAATCTTCTTACCTTGTGTTAATTAAAGAAAAATAATTCTAATCACTAATTCCACGCTATTTCTCCGATCCTAACCAAATTCTTGTTATTGTTATTGAAACTGTAGAGTGAAACAACTTATTGCCTTTGCAAACTCTTTGGTGTGATTATGCAGACGCAACGTAAAAAAGTAATAATTACATTGTCAACCTTTCCTGCATTGAAAATTCGCCGCATAATCAACTTGATAGCTTCAGCGAAAAAGTGTCTACTTCCATCCACCGACTGGAACAACAGTTAAGAAGTCATGCGCCACGAGAACCTAAAATAATCAATACCGCTGATCATATTCTTAATAATTGTTTTTTTTTTTTTTTATTATTATTATGTTCATTTCGCGTTAAATTGAATTTTTTTTATATTTTTGTTTTTTGTGTGAATGATTCAAAATGAAAGAAATGCATTTTAATGTAACCTATACATAGTGTAACATGCACACGTATATGTTGCATAATTTAGATAAAGCGTAGTACACACATTCGTGCAATAGACGTGAAGTAAAAAAGTGACTTATTCGCGTGCACATAACAATAATAATCTTGGTAATAATAAGCTGGCCAACTGTGCACATTTAAGCAATGTACTTATGCACTTTTCTTCTTTTCTTTTTGGCGAAATTCATTATGAATTTTTACCTCCAAAGGCCTTCATTTGCATTGGTGCTTATGGCAAAAAAAAAGAAAAAAAAAAATAGAAAATGATAATTAAGGAATACGGATGCGTCATGTCCTTCCTATCCAACACGATATAAAGGAAATTGTCTTCTGTCGGCTAGGATTATTGCAAAAAATTGATAATTTGTTAAGAAAGGATTGTATCGTGATTATGATACCTCCGCTATCACAAAGGGTATAGGACGAATTATTTTTTTTTCCAAAAACGTTCGTTTTTGTAATAAATATGAATTACGTTATGATTTACAGATAAACGGAATTAAGTATTCTTCCCGACGCGTGTTCTTGACGCCCACAATTTGAAACCATCAAAGAAAAATATACATGCTCTTGTCCGCATAATATATAACATAGGAATAGATGTGCGGAATTTGAGTCAATGAACTCATGTTGAATAGGAATGCGTGCACAAGTATAGGTCACCGCTTAGCGACGGGGAATTGAATCCCGGTCTCTCGAATAATAAGTAAGGATACCAGCTCGATTGAGACGTGCAGGTCGTCTAATTAGACGCATGGACAGACATCGGACGGAAATTCATAAATTTGAATCATTTTCTGATCGGTGATCGGCACAACCATTGTTTGTCTATCGACTCGTCCAGCTCATTGACTCGTGTCAGAGACAATTGGCTTCGCTCGAAAATCGCTTTAATTTTCTATCATTTGATCTTGTAGTCCTTGTGCGTATCCAGCTTCCCATCAATGATCTTGAAATATTGCTGTGAAAAGTTCCCCATCATTTGCTCCATTTGCTTTCATATATATAGCTTTCTGCAAAAAATTGCTCTTTGTATAAGAAGCTTTTGCTTGCGAAAAGCTTAATTAGTTGGGATACTGACCTAAAGTACCGCTCCGAATATGATATGGTCGTCACCGAATCCGGACTCAAACTGAAATGCCAAATGAAGTTTTTAGGGCGCCATCGGGTAACGGTTGGTACGTGCGCTACCCTAGGAAATTTTTTGCTAATGGGCTTTCCACCCGATCATTTTACGCATGTGCTAATTGATGACGTCGGCCAGTGCACAGAAACTGAAATTATGGTTGCTGTTGCTCAAGTATCAAAAGAGCGTGGCCAGGTAATCATTGCTGGAGATCCCCATCATTTGCAGTCAATCGTCCTAAACGGATATGCTCGTGATCGTGGCCTTTCGCAATCATTTTTGGAGAGAATTCTTTTGCGTGCACCCTACTTAAAAAATGATGATAGTTTTCCCTTTACATACGGTTTTGACCCTCGGCTGCTAATAAGATTACTCTATAGTTACCGGACGTTGCCCTCCACACTGAACATACATGTTTATAGAGAAATGTTGATAACAATGATAAAGGAAGACAATTCTTGGGAAGTTGCAATGCTGAAGAAACTTGACGATTTGCTGCCGCAATCTCCAAGTCGAGCCAAAACACATGGCATGTTCTTCCACGGAATACGTTCTGAAGATATGCAGGAAAACGACTCGCCATCGTGGTATAATCCTTATGAAGCGAAAATGGTAAGTTGTCTTTAGTTTAAAAACACAGTATTTTATAACATTAAACAACATTAAACTTGAATCAATTGGAATTATCAGTCCGTACCTGAAACAAGCTAAACATTTTGATGATGCCGACGTAGCGATGCCTAAAATTGGTTCTGTGGAGGAATTCCAAGGACAGGTATAACCTTCGTAAAATTACAGTTTGAATTAATACTAATATTGCTTTCGCTTGGTTTTTTTAGGAACGCAATATAATATTAATTTCAACAGTCAGGTCAAGCAAGGAGCATATACCTAGCGATGTGCGGCATGCATTAGGTTTCATTCAAAACGAGAAACGGATTAATGTGACGATATCTCGAGCTCGTTACCTTCTTATAGTATACAGCAAGCCCGATCTACTCCTTTTGGACCGTCGTTGGCGCGCGATCATAAAATACTGCGTCGATAACGATGCCTACCTTGGTCGAGATTTGCCGGACTTGTCTGTAACTTTTATGTAATATGTATATATATACTTTAATAGTTTAGTTTCTTGACTTGAATTACTTTAAATTATTGAATTAATTTTCAAATTTGAATATGTATTTAGTTTAGTTTCAATTTTTTTTGTTTTGTTTTTTTGTTGTTAAATGAATGTTTGTTTTTTGTTGTTAAATGAAAATTAAAAATGTTATGTTTTTCATCTTAATTTTATTTTTTGCCTTCATTTTATTTTTTGTTTTCTGTTGTGTATTAATTTATATAATTTATATTTAAATATAAATGAAATAAATAGCTTTATTTATATAATATCTTTATT